CAGCTCCTTCTCTAAATTTTCTTTCCTTTAGCCAAGCCAAGTTATAACCCAAGAAAGACCTCTTGATCTTTGAGATACGTCACAATACTTTGGAAAGCGAGAATATAAGCAAGCCTATGGTAGTGTTGATTCAGTGGGAAACAAGTGAAACACCAAACCCTCCAGATGATGAGCTTGAGTGAATTAAATTCCTAGTGAGGGAATGTTTCAGTAATTTTCTCTTATTCTTGATCTTAAGAATTTTGTTGCAATTCTCTCTGATGAATTATGAATCTTATAATTGATACAGCAATGTTTATAATCTGAATGCTCTGTCTCTATAAATTCCTTCCAATTTCCATGCTTCTGAGATTCCTGCTTTCTATTCTAGTTGATTGCTGAGGACAACAATATTCAAATCTAGGAATGTTTGATAAACCTTTGGTTTACCATGTTTTTTAGGCTAAATTATACAAGAGTTATGTAGTAAAATGCATGGAATTCAAGGTTTTAATACATTTAAGTCATAAGATAGGAAATTGAGCTGACGTTTTGATAATATTTGCATTTTGAAGGTAAAACCACAAGAATTGGTGCTAAAAGTGCTAAAGAAATCATGACGAAGAAGTAGCGGCTCAATATGGATCAAGGAAACAAAAATATTAGAATTCAAGGTCCAGAAAAGCACGCTCAAACGCACAAGAGGACGCTCGAGTGTTTGGAAGAAGGAAAAACAGCTAAACTGGGCACATCAGGGCGCTCAAGCGCACAACAGCAAGCTCAAGTGCCCAAGGATACACAAATCCAGACTTGAGGAGCACGCTCGAGCGCCCAGTAGCACGCTCGAGCGCGCTCAGGCAGACAGCAACAACAAAATTGCAGTAACTTGGCACGCTCAAGTGGCCAACAACATGCTTGAGCGCCCAAGCACGTTAAAGACAGCAAAGATTCACTAAGATTTGCTGAGATTTAATAAGGATTTGTCCTATTATGAGATGGAACTAAAGCGAAAACATATCAAAGCTGATTCCTGAGAAGACTGAAGGAAGATTATAAGAAGACTCAAAAGCTCAAATCTCTCAACCAATCCACGAGATATTAATTGCAAAAAGGAAACAATTGGAGAATCAATTACAAATCTGATATGGATTAATGGGAAGATACGATGAAGGCTGTGGCTTTGAATATTATAATAAGGAGCTTGGGGTCAGAACCAAAACACTCATTCAGAAATTCATTCATCCTCATTCATACTCCAAGGAGGAATCCTGTTGCGGAGCGCTGGAACACTGAGGAACCAAGTCAACATCACACCAATGGAGGCTTGGGGTTCTCTTTTCTTTATTATTTCTTTTCAATTCAGTATGCTAGAGTAGTCTTGTATGTAGTTAAGGGTAGATGGAACCCAATTGAATCGTTATGTTTATGAATTAAATTGTCTCTGAATCTTGTTCTTTTTATAATTGAATAAATTATCTGTCTTTAATGCTTTCTATGAGTTTGTTCCTTATAGAATGATTTTGGGAAATTGTATGACAATAGGGATGTTGGTGCATGAACCCTGACTCGATAATTTATCATAATCCTTGTGATCTAGGAATAGGCATAGGGTAATTATGTAATCTTGTAATTCTTGATCTTAATGCATGTTTTCTTAAGCAATAATCGGGGAACTGAAGTTCTTTCAAGATTACATAGATTTATAGTAACAAGGAATTGAGCCGTAATTAACTCAGATAGAATTGATTGGCAATATATTAAGAAACAGATTCTTGGCTATTTAATTCATAACATATTGAGGATATTGGGGGAAGTCGAAACCTTAACTATGCTTGTTTTAAATTCTTAATCAAACATCATCTTCATTCATTCTTTTAATTCTGAATTTCCTTAATTGCATGATTTTAATTGTTTTTAATTTTAAGTTCTTTGAATCACAACTCTCTTCATCTAAATTCTTGATTGTCCAACTAAGACGCGATTAGCGAACTAGTGCTTGAAAATTCTGATCCTCGTGGGAACGATCTCGTACTCCGGTACACTTTATTACTTTACGACCGGTGCACTTGCCGAGTCGCAACAACCATAGAGGCACATCACATGGGATTCCCCTTATCATGCACTGTTGCCCACTGTATATGGACAGTCGGCGCAGTAGGCTTGGCAGCAGATGCTTGGTTTGGCTAGGTGGCACAACTCTTGTCTCCTACTCCACTTTCTCTCTCACACGCTTGGAGAGTGATGGGGCTGAAAGGTATTGATGGGCCTGAAAGTAAAATAATTAATTAGTTAGTTAGGAATTATTCTAGAAGGTTCTTAGAGAATAGGATAAAAGGAAGGGCACTGTGTGTCGTGAGGTAGGCATGAATTGAGTGAATGTTAGGGATTTGGGATCTCTTGAAGCCTAGGTTTGTTGTCTTTGAGTTTGAGTTGAGGTCTTTTGGTGTATTTTTATGCATTTAATCTTTGTAAGGAGCTTATCTCTGTGTCTGTTTTCATCAATTCCAGATTAATAAAATTAGGTCAGATGGTGACCTCTCCTATCTAAATACCCCATTCTCCTATTGAGGGGGCTTATCATCTAATCTATTCATTCTATGAGCTGTTACTCTGCAAGAATGTAGAGCTACCATAGCCATTTTACACACTCTCCCCTTTGAGGAATAACACATGAGAAACTCTAACAAGGCCTTGGTCTTTACTCTTTACCATTGCCACTAAGAGTACCCCTAGATTGACATACTTCACCCTTTGAGGGATACATCAATGGCTTTACACAAACAACACAAACAATTCAACTGTCATGAAGGAGATGTGCCTACCTCTGACTATTCAAGTACGTGTTTTTTCCACAATTGGGTAATTGATGGAAAATTTTATGTGCTCTTGGTGACATAATTATATCAAAATTGCATCTATTTGATTGTTTTCCCAACAGTGAGTGTAGGTTTTCTTTACTAGCTTGGATTATGTGTGACAGTATTAGTGGCAGAGCCACTTGGTATCCAGGCACCAGCTAATTTTAAAAAATAGTATAAATTTTCTTTAATAATTATGGTTCAGGCTTGACACTGGTTGAGTTTTTAAAAATAATATAATATTGGCACTAGCTAAGTTCTACCTTGCTGGGTCTTTTGGCAATGGCTATTTTTTTTTCTGGCTCCGCCACATAAGAGTATGTGTTCTTGTACAGCCATTTAGAACCTTAGCTATTTGTAAGGTTTGCTTGTATAGTGCCTTGAATGGTAATGTTAATTATGAAAGAAAGAAAAAAAGGAGTTCTGCACTTCTTCTGGATTATTCTAATCTCATTTGTAAGTTTTTAAAACTTATGAATTGTATAGTACAGTGCCTTCATATTGTTTCAAACAATAAAATTTATGAAATTGTTGATCCAATAACAGTCGAGGATGCAACAGAGAGTAAAGGAGAACGAAGTTATAAAATATTTTAAGGGAAGTCTAATACTGATGAAACATGGTACAAAACATAATTCTATTTGAGAATGAGTAAAGCAAATCTCTAGAAAACTCAAACCATAAGCAAATATATTAATCCTTATTCTCTATCTATGGTAAAGATATCAGATGTGAATTTTTTGGTCTAGTTTTCTATCTATTTATATATATATATATATATATATATATATATATATATGAGGTAGGATCCTTTGACACCAGTATCAAATTTGAAATTTGACACCTCATCTGAGAGCTGTTGGATAAAAAAAGATCAACGACTCTGATTTGTAAGCATGTGACACCATTGATCTTTTCTAATCTAACGACTCTCAGATGAGGTTTCAAATTTCAAATTTGACACTGGTGTCAAAGGATCCTACCTCTCTATATATATATATGGCAAAATGATTTGTAATGTGACTGTATATAAACATTGGTGCAGTCACATAGAAACTACGTCGTTTTGGGTGGAATAAAGAAAGTTCGCGTTTAGAATTAATTGTAAAAAATGGAAATATTATATTTATTTTCACATTTATATGGTTATGATTCCTTATATTTAATGCTTTATATTTATTATGACCTTTGTATGGTTATTATTTCCCATATTTAATGCTTTCACACTATAAAATGACGTAGTTTTATATGACTGCACCAATCTTTAAGTGCAGTCACTTTATATCCGCTAAACCCTATATATATATATATATATATATATATATATATATATATATATATATAGATGTTGTATCTAGCATGCGAGTAAGAGAAAACATCGATCCATGCCCCGAAATACCAAAGAAAAGGGTAGTAATAAGTCATATAAAATAAGTGGATAAGAAATTGAAATTGAAAAATATATATATATATATATATCTTTTTTGATCTAACAGCTCTCATATGATATATGTATATAATATATATATATATATATATATATATATATATATATATATATATATATAGAGGTGTCAAACTTCAAATTTATATATACATATATATATATATATATATATATATATATATATATATATATATATATATATATATATATATATATATATATATATATATATATATATATATATATATATATATATATATATATAAAGTTTATACATATATATATATATAGAGCCGTTAGATCAAAAAAGATCAACAACTCTGATTTATATATATATATATATATATATATATATATATATATATATATATATATATATATATATATAGAGCCGTTAGATCAAAAAAGATCAACAACTCCATATGAGGTGTCAAACTTATATACCTTATATATATATATATATAGAAAAAAAAAAAAAAAAAAAAAACTATAGCAGAATGTGTCGTGGTGGGAGTAGACTCTTGTACCTTTTCCTTGTAAAAAGGTAATTTTGTAGTGGAGATTCAAATATTGAATAATAGAGCAGCTATACCTAATATACAATAAATGATCTTATTTTCTTCTTGGGAACAAAGAACTTAATACATATTCTCACAATTGGGAGCCAATACACAACCCTTTCTTTCAGAAACAAGACTTGGTTAAGGATTACACATTCACTTGGATGGGTGCGTTTTCCTCTTGGCAAAGAACATTACAAGCTTCGAAGGAAATATTGACTTCTTCTTCTTCTTTTTGCTCTTTGTATCAGAGGCTGATCCAGTATCCGTGTCATTTGAAGGAACTTTACCCTTTGAGCTTGATAAATCATTATCAGACACAGTTGCAGCTGTATTCAGGTCATTCAATTCACCAGCCTTTCTTTGTTCCTCTTGTTCAGCCCTCCATGTTCTTAACTCCTCTTCTATAGCTAACTTTCTTTCTGTGGCCTTCTTAGCATTCTCAGTTGCAATCTTCAGAGATTCCCTTCTCACAGACAACTCTTCATTCAGTTCTTCCAACTTCTCCAAGCTTCTTAACTCAGACTCCTTAGCCGTTTCAATCTCAGAATTAGCTGCTGCAACCCTCACATTGGCTTGCTCTTCTGCCTTATGGGCTCGCTTACTGAGCTCATGATATTCATCTACTGTGAGTGTCACAAGTGAAGAAGAATCCATGCTATTGTTGCTTCTAGCTGATTCACTCTTTTCCAATGCTTTAATTGAATCTTTAGCCAACTTTTCAGCAACCTTGGAAGCTTCTATCACCTTCTGTGCTGCCAGTAATCTACTTTCCAATGTATTTGCATTGGCCTTAGCTTGTTCAGCCTCTTCTTGTGCTTCAAGCAGCTCTACCTGAGCAGCCTCAACAAGTGATTTAGCCTGATCAGCCTCTTGTGCTGCTTCCTGCAGTTTCTTGGGCAACTCATTCATCATTTCTCTTGCTTCTTTCTCTTCCATTTGAAGAAAAGCTATTGCAGACCTTGTCTTCTCCATTTCAGCTTGGAGAGTTATAACTGCAGCAGAAGCCTTTTCCTCACTTTCCTTAAGGGTGCTGAGAACCAACTTCTCTTCTTCTAGTTTAGATTTTAGTAACATGGAAGCCCCCCTCAAGCTGTTAACCTCAGCAGTTGCTTTCTCTATTTTCAGCTTTACTTCCTCAAGTTCCTTTTCTTGTGCTTTATAGCTTTCATCTTCTTGTTTTGATTCCATATATGCTGCTAATTCTGCTTTCAAATCAGACAGTAAAGAGGAAGATGCATCCAATTTAGATTTGAGAACCCTGGCTGACAAAACTTGCTGGTTTAGTCTTTGGAGCCCCTCTTCTGCTTCCACAAGTTCCAGCTTCCAGTTGTGAGATTCTTGATCCACTGCTCCTGATCTTTGTTCCTCTGCTTCCAAGTGAGCGGTTCGAGTGGAGTTCAACGACTCCTTTGTTGCATTTAACTCACAAGTCAAATCTTCCACTGCCTTTTCAATCTCCATGGCTGCAGCAACAGCCTCTTCTGCAGTGCTGACAGCTATATCCTTTCCACTCAACATAGAAACATACTCCTTATGTAGCAAGTCCAGTTCCTTTTTCATAAATTCCAAATCTGAAAGCGCAGCAGTATGCATGGCTTTTTCAACCTCAAGTTGTGCCTTGGCTTCAAAACTAGCTTCATTTACAATATCCTGCTCCATCTCTTCAATTTTGAGAATCACAAGTTCGGCCTCTTCTTTGGCCCGAAGCTCATCTCTTTCTACCCTTTCTAAGTTAAGCTTGAGTTCTTCAATAAGTTTCTTAGTGCTTTCCAATTCCTCAGCAGTTTCTGTTTTTCCAAAGTCTTGTCCTTCAAGCTTGCTTCTCTGTTGTGCCACAAAAACAAAATATAAAAATAGTTGTTTTTAGGGCATTCAAACTTAAATAAATAAATATATGCGTGCCCCAAAGCAGTGGGAAACAAATGAGGTAGAGAATCCACTTTTCAATTACACCCATTTAATTCCATAAACAGTCATTTACATGTCTCTAATGCAGATGGTAGTACTACATCCTAACCCAAAACCATGAAGAAAATATGAACATAAAAATACAATTAATTCAAACAATATACCTCAAGACTCTGGGTTCGACGGGATTTCCAATCAATTCTTCCTCCAAACTTGGACACAGCATCTTTGACAGATTCAAAAGGTGCTGCTGTATCAATGACTCGCTTAGAAGCTTTAGGAGAACCAACATTTCCTGGTGAAGTTTCATCACCAACCTGATTGAGGGCTTATCAGTATTAGTACCATCTTGTGATTGGTTCTTGTCAGTAATATCAGATCTAGTTGAGCAATTACCTTAGGGGATTCTGAAAGTGGTTCCATAGAGGATTTTGAAAGTGGCACCTCTTCAGTATTGCTCACAGGATCTGTTCCCAAACAGCAATTGGGAGTGCCACCAAAATGTCTGAAATTCAACTGATTAGAAAACTAAAAAGCAAAAATATGTGATCAAAATTCTCACAACCCAATACTACTCAATTCATGGTTTAATAAAGTTTGAAAATTGTAATTAACTCCAAATCCAAAGTCATTTTTCTGCCTCACTGCTTCCAAAGCTCCAAAGCATAAAGGACAAGTCAAAGTTAGGACTGCTTTCTGCATGTAGATATGTTACTAAAATTATCTTTCTCTTTCGTTCACTAGCTCTATTAGGCAATCCGATGAGCTAAATATTGAACATAGTTTCTACTGAATAAAATGTATTATAAAATATAAATTCTGTATTTGTATTAAAGCATTTAAAGGTTATAGTAGGAGGAGGAATGGAAGATAATAAAAGAAAAGAAAAAATAGATTATTGTTCAGCACAATATAAAGAGGCATACAAGCTTTAATTAAGCTGATGGTATTTTAAGCTTTAATTAAGCTGATGGTATTTTAAGCTCTACTGAGCAAGTGAAGACAGATTTTTGGTGACAGAATATTCTCATATTCGTAAGCTTTAATTAAGCTGATGGTATTTTAAGCAAGCCTTGGCTGTTATTCTTTTTCTTTTTCTTTTTCAACTTTTTTATGTGCTTTACCAAGATAATGAATAGATCGCATAAACAGCAATGAAATCATAAGTCAAATTAACAAAATGAAGAAAATCGAAATTATAACCAGCATTAATACGTTGTATCATCCTAATCCTCTTAAAAATATATTTTAATCAAAATTCTTGCCTAACATCTAATTTTAAAGGAAAATTTATGGAAATGGCCGAAACATTTCTTAATTTATAAAGATAAAATATAGTGAAAATTTTCATATATAGTAATTGAGCACGCTCCATGAATAATTTTAAGGAAAAATTTTACATGGAGATTGCCATAACATTTCTTAATTTATAAAGATAAAAATAGTATGAGAAGGAAATTATCATATATAGTAAATGGGCTCACTCCATGAATAGTTTTAAGTAAAATTTTATATGGAAATTTCCTTAACATTTCTTAATTAATAAAGATGAATATAGTTATGAGAAGGAAGTTTTCATATACGATTTTTTACTTATATGAATAAATGATTTTTTTTTTAATTAAAACAATGCTCCCAATTTATTGGAATAAATTTTCAAAATTTTATCAAAGACCACCCAACACAATGTAAACACAATATTAAAATCCAAAAGGACTGTTCCACACAAACAAATATACTGTGAAGAGAGAACTTTATATATAACCATAGACGTGTGGTCAAAAGCATTCAAAGACTATATATAATACGAAGCACAAGAAGAACAATAACAAGAAACCAACAAAAAGAAGAAAAAAAGTGATTCAGACCCGGATTAGAATTGAAGAACTCTGAAAGAGAGGATGATGGAAAGACTTAGAGAATAAAAAACGAAGGAAAAAGAAGAAGGACTACAAGAAGCATTAAGACGATGAGGAGGAAGGGAACAGTTCACAATTAACTGTTTGCGGCCTCTTCCGTCTTTATGCTTCCAACTCATGCAACATCCTCATAAACCGATACCTCAAGGAAAATAAAATGATGTTCAAACACGTGTTGGATCACCATATATCTCTTCCTTTTCCACCACATTTTTTCCTCTTAGGACAAATATGGAAATGTCACTAGTATTAATATATATGCTGTTTCATCCTATAATCCCCCTTTGAAATTTTTCTTTTAACCAAATTCTTATCTAATATCAATTTTAAAAGAAAACTTTTATATGGGAAGTGCCATAACATTTCTAAATCTATAAAGATTTAGTTTTGAGAAGGAAATTTGCATATATGAGTAAATAATGAACACACTCCATGAATGATTTTTCACTCACACGTTGGTCTCAATAAGCAAAGCCATGATCCATCCTATCCAGTTAATCCTTTTTTAATTTTCCACAATAAATACCAAGAGAGTTGATGATTTATACCGTTAAATAGATTATTGTTCAGCACAACAATAGATAGAGTTATATGCTTACACCCTGCATGTAAAGATAGATTTTGGTAGCAAAATATCTTCGAATCTGTTAGCTATTAGCTGATGGCATTGTAAGTAGGCCTTGCTTGTAATTCTGTTTTTTTTTTTGGGTACAAAGTAATTCTTTTTTATTTAATGCGACTTGTTAATAATGATGTATTAACTTTTCTATGTGCGTTACCCAAATGATAAATTAAATAATGAATATATCATCCAAACAGCATGAAATCATGCATCATATCAATAAAATGAAGAAAATCCAAATAGAAATTTAGAAAATTTCAAAACACAACCTTAAATAATGTTTGTCTTCTCTACATAAACCTGATATAATATAAGAACAAAATTTTTTGAGCGTCTCTAATGCACTTCGAAAACAATCAATACAAAATTTTCAAGTTTTCATTGCCTCTTTGATCTTTTTCCCTAATATTACCAAGATTTTATTGTATGTAAATTGAAATGTCGCTTTCTCTATCCCTTTTTCATCATTGATTTGATTAGCATCATGCCTTACCTCCCCTAAAATAAAGAGCAGAAAATTTAATTTGATTGTGCATCAAGTTACTAAAGAGAAAAAGATTGATTAAATTATTGTCACCTCAAAAACAGAAAAATTAAAATGTTCCAAATTCATTGAAAGAAATTTTCAGAATTTAATCATAAACGAAAACGATGAAAAACAATATTAAAACTCAAAAGGACTTATGTTACACTCAAATAGATATACCATGAAGGGAGAAAATGAAATGAAACTATTAACATGTGGACAAAAAGCATCCAGAAACGTATCATATGAAGCACAAGAAACAAAATAAAAGTGCATCGAACCTGGATTAGAAATGAAGAACCCAGAAAGAGATAATGGTAATGGAAGACTCGGATATAATGGAAAAATAAAGAAAAAGAATTTGAGTAGAAGGAGGAAAGATTGTTCTATAATACGGAGGAAGGGGGTGTTGTTGAGGCGATGAAGAAGGAAGGAACAGCTCACATCTATTTGTGGCCTCCTCCTTCTTGTGCTTCCAACTCATGCAACGTCCCCATGTACTCTGACATTTCAAGGAAAAGAAATTGATATTATTCAAACACGTATTACATTACCATGTGTCATCCTTTTCCACCACCACTTTTCCATTGTAACAGATATGATATCTATTACTAGCACTAATATGTTGTCTAATCCTAATCCTCTTATCGAAATTCTGGTTTAACATCTTATTTTAAATGAAGTTTTATATTAAAATTGGCATTAGTTTTAGTAAAAATATAAATATAGTTATGAGATGGGAAATCTCACATGAGGAAATGAAAACTCTATTAGATCTATGAATTTGGCAAGTTTACCGATCATTAAAATAACAAAGATAAGTAGAATATTCTTCTCACAAGATTGCTATCACCAAACACTAATTCATTAGATTTATTCTATTTGATAAACCTAAAAACTTGAGATGAAGGGGATCAGTTGCAAATTAAATAAAGAAAGCAGATAAAATAAGAATGTAAAATTGAAAGTAATCTTATTACTAAAAAAACGATTAGAGATGGACAAATTCTTTCTCTAAAGTCCACTTTTTCATTTCTAAATATATTAGATACGAATTTTGAAACAGAAAAAAAAAGTCTATAAATAACATGTCTCTAATAAGTTTGTGACGGAAAATATATTTTGTCTTTATTTGAGACATGAAAATGTTCACTTTAAATTGCATTTTTCTGCTCTAACATGTGAAATTAAAATAATTTGAAGAAAGGTGTAACACCCCATTCTAGAACCGATTTGTTAACATTGCATTATGGTATTAAGCGCAGTTACAATCACATTGGTTCGATTAGAAATCCAGATAAATTTTTTTTTTTAAAGAATCCGAATTTAAAATAACCAATTGTGTGACCATAATCATGTGACATTGCGGAATAAATGAAACTAAGCTTAACATCATATTCTTATTTTATTAGACCACACGTTGTTAAATGTCTTCATCTCTTTTATTATTATATGAATTTCATACTTTCTCTATAGTTCTCATCTCCTACTATATTATGGACCTCTTTGTTAGCTTCTAGTGGGTTCAAATCGCACTCAAATCGGAGCTCCGTAGCTCGAGTTATGCAAGTTTTACTAAACTGCGTTTTTGCTGATTTCGGGTAGCACATTATAACGCTCAACTAGGCGTTAAAACGCCCAAAGGCAGAGAGTTTGGCCTTCTCCAGGTCTTCAGCGCGCTTTAGCGCTCAACTTGCGCGTTTTAGCGTCCACTTGGGCGTTAAAACACCCAAGGGCAGAGATTTTTCCACCATTTCACGAACACAGCACGTTTTAGCGCCCTTATCAGCGCTAAAACGCTCTCCAACTGGACAACACATGCCCTCCCCTGTTTTCACATAATTTCATGAGGATATTCCTCCCTTTTTCACTATCCTCTTAACACCTAATTGACTAGGAATGGCCAACAATATCCAAAGCATGTTGTGGCTCTTACATCCCATCATTTATCTTTAATCTCTTAAATAATCCTTGCACCAATCTATAATTACAGCTACATAATATCATATTTCATCATATGGCCTCAAAATACACAAACATATGATGATGTAAATGATACATACATCTAAAAATCCTAGATGATATATAATCCCAAAATGTCAATCTATTATGTCCCATCTACTCAGGCCTCTTGCCTCATCCTGCATCATCCATGCAAGTTGTAAGAACCTGCACCGTTAATTAAGGAAGTTAATTAATTAATTATGTGAAATTAGGAAATAATTCCATAATTGACCCTAATAATTATCATGAGGCTTAAATAAATATAGAAAATGGTTAATAATGCTGAAAGTCGCTTTCGGACGAAAAGCGCAGATACCGATTCTGCTACTCGGTATAAATGTGTACCGAAAAAGTATCCCAAAAAATTATAATAAGTTCATGATAATTCCTAGAATAATATATAGGACTTGTAAAACGAGTTTCAAGTTAAAATAATGAGAACTGGTGCCAGAAACTG